TTACAATAAAATTACAAACTGAACTGAAATTATTATAATTATTAAGTAGTATTGTTAAGCCTGATTTCCTTAAAATCGCTACACTGTCGATACGGTGTTTTCAGTGCAGTCGTTTTACTGCGTAGCAGCACCACCGAAAGCTGTCGGCGATAGGGTGTAGCGATTGTATGGAAACCAAGGTTTACTTAACCACTTGATAGTTATAACATGGAGGTATGGTTATACGATTATAAATACCAATATTACGTATTTAAGTTCTGCGTTGCGTCACCGTCAATATGAGGGCGCAGAATATATGTATTATTAAACACGTAGGGAACTGGCCGATCAAACCTGGACCAGGAATACGCGCATGTCACACAAAGATACAGTCATTTTTACGCAAGTTGACGCCGTCATTTTGTGGGATTTTAGTAAAAATGGGCGTAAATTATGTTGGAGGTACACAGCTAACTCCATTCCTAGAATACGAAAGAGGAAATAGACTTAAAGTTAGCCAATATCTAAAAAATAAGACCGTTGTATCATGTCACAGTAGGTCTATTTATTCCATCGTTCCCTGTAATCCCTGGGTATTTAGGATTTGAAAACTAATTCAATAAATTCTATTCGTATGTTGTTAATGCTTCATAACAGAAATCAAATTTGGCAATGATTCGATAATAACCTCCCTCAACCTCCTATCATTGGCAAGACTTATGTCTATGGCACGCTAGTAAGTGGATTAAACTAAGAATACTCAATAATTGACCGACTTGACGTACTTCATAATGTATACTGATGGAAAAGGCTATTTAGATTGAAACCTAGCCTACAGTCATGGTTCATAATACATTACATCTCGACGAAAACAGTTGGATCATAAACGAGAGACTAGTGCATAAGACGTTGTCATAATAACGTCAAATTACAGCCTAGAGGATATACCATATCCATATTTTTGTTTGAATTGAAATAAGTAAGAACTAAGATGATTGTTTCATTTCACAATTGTGCTTAGCTAAAGCATAATGACGTGAGCGAAAACTGTTACATTGGCCTATCACTTACAACAAGCCGTAAACATGTTCTCTGAATTCAAATTGTAAGCTAATACATAAATCGATTGATTTCACTAAGTATGATCTCAAAATGTGAGTAATTTAAAAGAATTGTAATAATGTATTGTTCCTAAAACAACATCTTAAAACAAGTTTTACTGCCAAAAATATCTTTTGGAAAGATTTACTGGATTTTAGATTGTTGTAAATCTAAGCTGGTTAGGGTTTATGAAATTGTGTCTCTGGGCTGTATACGTGAATTGAAAACGAATATTATTTTAATAATACTTAGGAAAAGAGTTTGCTTTTTTTTCAAATACAATTTAATGTTTGAAGCGTAAGCTCTTCAAGTAAGTAAATCACCCTTACTTATATTTTATTGTGTAGCTAATATATTTTTCTTTAAATCTTATGCAATTGAATTAAACCTCATTAGAGGAAAGCAGAATTGCGCCTTTTTCCTTATCTCATAAGCAGACAATAATTGCGTATTTTTAATATAATTTTGAAGATTTTCAGTAGGATTATAGCTTAGGTCTTAGAAAATCACCATTCGTATCGTATTATTTATGAATGAAACACGAGACGTTAACCTTCAGTAAGAGTAGATTATACTCGATTTTTAATGAGATGCGTCTCAATGACACATCATTTTTTTTAAATTTTATCAACTAAAATTGTAGGCCTATATCTTATGATTATCTCTAATAATGTACGTCATGTAATACGGTTACGTAATAGAAGAGAAACATAACAAAGAACATGTACTTTCTACTTTCTGTGTTTATAATATATGCCTATTAATTAAATAAGGTTTGCTGTACAACACTGTAAACACAATACTATACACAAATAAGCACATAACAGTTGCCAAAAAAAAAAAAAATATTATGATTTCATAATCGTATCAAGCATACCGGTAGGTCTTCAAAGAAAAGTTTCTTTTAATTGTATGAATGTGTCTTTGGCATTTATTATACAACTAATAGAAAGGAATTTACTAGGCCAAAAAAATAAATTGTTTGTTTTCCCTTCTCCACCCGCCCCTAACTCACTGAAAAAATATGGGCGGAAAAACAAAAAACTTAAAACAAGTTTTTTTTATAGATTTTTTCTTTATAAGTTAAAAATGTGAGTGAATTTATCTTTATTTTTTTCCCAGATGCCCGTAATGCGCATGCCCTACAAATTCGTCTAAAGTTGTCTGATGTAAGATATTGACATTCTAGGCCTCGGTGAGTTATTTTTATTCCATCTGATAAGTGTCTTAAAAAGAAAATAAATTTTAAAAAATAAAATTTTTCCACCCGCCCCTATTTATCATTTTTTTTAAAAAGAAGGGCAAACAATCAATCTTATTTTTTGGCCTTATAGGCCTATATTGAACCGTTGTGGTCGTGTTGCACTCAAAATAGAATGCAGTGGACCTTAAGCCCTGCTGGGCCGCCCTGTTTAGAGATCCCAAAGGCTACCCGAAACTCGGCCACGTACATACACACGTGGTTGTATAATAATTTCAGCAAGAAACCGTTTAATGGGATTTACTACTTAAACGCAAAGCCCCAGGTTTTGAATTCGGATCTTCTGCTTGATACTGCAAACGCCTTACCCATCTAGCCCACTTAGGCTTCGTGTCCATTTCGATTTCGAATGTAAACTTTTTTCAATCTAATTAGTAAATTCAGGGTATCACTAGTTCACAATGCAGTACTGTTATAGCTTTTAAGCAATTAACTGCGGCAAAAAAGAATAAAATGAAATTTTATATTTTTCAACGTTATTGTTACCAGTCTGTTACATATACAATTGTGCTCCACTGATCGCTTAATTTCTCCTGGCCCATAGGCCTACCTAGAGTTGCTCTTAGTCTTGTTCTGGACGATTCCTTTTTAAATAATAGCTATGTAATAAAACAGTAATGTTTGTATAATTGTTGTGTTTCTCATACTTATTTACATCATGTTAATAATTTACAAAAACTCTATCAGATTGCTATTTAAAAAAAAAATATTATTCTTAACTTAATTTAGCTAAATTTTGGTGCAATATTTGGCAATCAGCGACTTTTACATAAAGTTGCATAGTCTTGGAATAATAAACTAATTATCAATAACTCTTTTTTTTACTTTCCTTCTACATCCAATTCTTCTGTCTGATCGTACATACACAATCCGTACGGTAACGTTAGGCAAGAGTCCTGCAGCTCAGTCGAAAATTGGTGGTTCCAAAAATGTCAATATGATGGAATTAATGTTTATTAGTCAGGCTCGCGCTATTCAAAATAATACAATCGACATCATGTGAGTTTAAAACTTCTATGCTGCAGATGAAAAAAGTATTAGTGATAATTTATCAATTTCAATTAAATGATATAAAGACACATAAGGCAAAGGAATTAGCGTTTAGGTAGTTCCAAAAAGAGAAGCAATCATTGTAAATAACATATTGAACTAGTATTTGAAAAGGAAAAAGGTCGTCAATTAAAGAAATGTTAAATAATGAAGTGAAAAATTACTTCAAAAAACATCTGCTAAATGAAAACCTTTCCGGCAGTTCTTCCTATCGAAAACTGAGCCCTCACCACGTGAGTAACACGCTTACAAGACGTTCGTGAAGTTATACAGTAAACTTGATTTGCACACGTAAGCTTTACTCATTATTACGCGTGACACGTATGTAACTCGCTTTATAAACCCACAGAGCCACAATTTTCACGTGAAACTAGATTTGAACACGCGTTGATGTGTCTGTGTTGGTCAAAATCTCCTATTTTGACAAAGTTGTGAGCATATTTAAGACGCCTACAGTCTCACGAGTGCCGTAATAGCCGTATGTTATTTGTAACAACATAAGATAAATTGAAGTCATAAGTAACGTTATTATTGTATCGATTTTATATCACATTACCAGAAATTGAAGTTATAAATAGACCTCCCCTTAACAGCAACAATAATGGTATTACAGCACTTGATGGAGGAGAAATCAATTACACATCCTCCACTATGAAGGACTGTAAACGGAAAATTGTAAAATGTTGAGGATTGTCAAAACCAAGAATATAGTTTTACAGAAGCCTATTGCATTTTAAAATTCATTTGTGGTGTTCTTGTAGGAAAGTTGCTTAGAATATCATTAAACTTGCTAGCATGGATACGCTATGCTGTGCATCAACCTTTCAAATTCGTTTGGGATAATTTAGGTCTAGTTAAATGATCCACACTCTTCTTCCGGTAGAAACTTAATACATTCTTTTTCGAAAATTTTTCGTATATATCTATGTATAACGTATTTTGTATAAATACTTTTTTTTATTACTAGGCCTACTAATATTTAAAAGATGCATTTGCAGTGGTGACGCCATGATTTGCCCAACATGGAGCCAGGATTTACCCAACGGTGCCGATTTCCCTGACGGGCGGGAGCATAATAGTCGGGCAGCTCAGAACCCCTCAGAGACCTGAGCCCTAATGCGGTGGATATGTACGGTTTATAAGTCTCAGTACTGTATTATATTAGAGAGAATCCAGATGATAAAGCCTCCGGAAACGCAATTCAGAGATTTGAAAGTTTTAATTACACGATGTTAGCTCTTATTCTGTAAAAATTACGTAGAATTTTTTCTTCCCAAAAAATGTGTTGTTTCTCTCCGGTAGGGGAGAGAAACGCTCTCGCAGCAGACTGGGATTGTGGCCCTGCCCCCTCAGGCACCACCAATGGGTTTGCACTCTACCGTTGTGATGAGTGCTATCAAACATCACCGTTTTTTGTGATGGAGTTTAGTGCTTTAGAAATACCATTGATTGGTTGATTTGATTGATATGCGAGTTAAGAGTCTGGGAGATGACTGGTAGGTAGGCCATGATTGTTAGATTTGTATTATTCTGTTGCGTATTATTATTTTATTATTATTATTATTATTATTATTATTATTATTATTATTATTATTATTCGATGATTCGATGCTATTATTACTTGGCCCAATGAACAACCGCTTGTGTGTTATTATTATTATTTAAAGGATCGTTGTTTTTACAGCGTGTATAGTTCAAAGCCTATCACACCGCATTAGTAGTCTTATTCAATCAGTTTGCCCAAGTATGGCCTACCTCTTTCGCGTGATTCGATGCCATTATTACTTGGCCCAATGAACAACCGCTTGTGTGTTTATAGATATCTGACCATTCCTTCAATGTGAGAAGCAGTGCTATACTTATTACAAGTCAGATATGTACCATACTTTTTTAAAAATTGATTTATCACAAAAGGTTTTCAGGTGTCTCGCACCAAGACCACAAACGGGGTCTGTTTGACCTGAACCCCGAGTAAGGGCATGTCAAAAGGCTACACCCACCCAGCACCTTTCCCCCAGCCACACTTCAAAGTTACATGAATACCGTCACTCAAACGTGTTATCATAGAAAGAGAAGTGTTTTCCAAAATTATAAGCACTTGAAACGCTATAGAGGAAGTAAAGTTACATTATGTGTACGTTAGTTTGCAATTGATGCACTTAATATGAAGTCAATTAAAGTCAACGTTCGCACTTATACAAATACCAAGTTATTATTAGCAGCGACTTCTTTTATAAGTTCATAATACAGTAAACTTGAGTAGGAATTGGATAAGATCAATATGTCCTGAATAGTCGACCGTATTTAAATAATGGATAAACACAAAACCAATTGAATAGGACTACTTGTGTTTCACGCATAGAGCCAACGACGTGCCTTAACGAAATATTGAAATTGTTTGTGCTGAGAGGTTTGTAAATATCATGAGAAAGAGCATTGAATAACCAACGCAATCTGCAGTTTTACGCGACTATTTCTAGCTAACACAGGTAAATTTCTCCAGCGACAAATGAATAACGCTAACAAACTTTGTACTATAAGCTGATATGGATTCAATGATTCTGGAAAAAACTTAACTACATGGCATTTTATATTATGCGAACCAACTACCACTGAATTTGAAAACCAATGCACAGTAGAATTTATCGTCCGTTTTTTGGATTTTTCCCCCCAGAAATCACTACCTGTACAGCATTGAATGCAATATCTACACAGAACCTAGCTGCATTCTCGGTGAGTACTGATAACTTGGTGAATGTTGATCACTCTAGACTAATGTTTACTCAAACTCAATCACCAATTGAGTTGAGTTCATGTATGGTTTATGCTTTAGTCTGTTTTGATTTCGGAATTCAGAAAGAGAATGGATATAATAATAGGCTATTGAAGCTCTTATGAAAACCTTATGAGTGACTGAGAGAGACTATTCGCGAGGCATGAGACTTATAAAATTGTAAAACTTACACTGAATACTGATATCATTACAGATATCATCTATTATTGTATGGGGTTGTTGTTATTACACATATGTGTCATATTCTTAGAATAATATCATTATTCATTTGGATTACGCAATGCATAGAGAAAAAAACGTGAACAATATATAAGCAAATTAGAATGTCCGTTGGCCTCATAGCTCAGTTGGTAACGGTATTCCAAAGTTCTAGTGTTCAAATACCGATCAGGATACCATAACTTTTTATTTTACCATTTTCAACATCTCTATGGTAATCTTTGAATGTTTTCATCAGCATTACTACCATTGTTATCATTACCATAATCAATCATCTTCAGCATCATCAAAAATATACAGAAAAATTAATTATATATATACATATATACATATGAATTATTAAATAAATGAATAGATTTATAATAAAAATCATAGTAACATGACTTCGCAGCTGACCCTCCTATCAACACTAAATCCTAATCAGTGGTGGGCTGCGCTTTGTGTTGTTAAACCTATACCATGTTACTAATGCTAACACTATGTTACAGACGGCAAAGACATCAATGATGTAACTTAACAGACATCAACACATAGACGAGAATCAGCACGAACTAAATTGAAATACATTTGCAAAATAATAAATCAAGCCGTTTACGATGCAAATAATTACTGCTTTAACGATTGAACTTTCAAAGGATCATCTTTGCAATTTTACAATGCAAAACACAATATGTTTATTCCCGAGGTGGAGACTGGAAAGTAATGCAAAGTCGTGCTCATAGGAGCATACATTAATCGCAAAAGTGATAAGAAAAACAATGATGAAGGAATTTCAAACAAAACAAACCGACTAGAGAAAGTAATGATTCTAAACTTTGTTTAATTAGATGAATGTTTTTTATTGTTTTTTACAATAATAATAATAATAATAATAATAATTACAATAGGCCCTAATATTAATAATAATAATAACAATTACAATAATGATAATAATGTATTGTTTTTAAGTCATCAACTATTCGCCTTAACACAAATTAAACGTACTTTTAACAGTAACTTTTTGTTTTATGAAACGGTAAAATTGTATGATATAATAATGTTGCTGTCATTGACGAAAATAATAGCAACCTATAGTAAATATTTGTTCTACTCTATGTATTTATTGTAAATTAGTTAATTGTTTCTATTAATCTTTAAAATCAATATATTTATTCCTATATTTGCTTTTTATTTGTTTAAATGCACATGCTGTTGAGCTACTATAGGTGAAGTCTCACATTTGGTTTACAAGCATGCTTTGTTTACTATTGTAAACTCCATCCATGGTCATGGGTTCAAATCGCGTGATACAAACATGCTTTCTCACAAGTTTATTTAACTCCGCTCCCTGAGTCTCATAAAGAATCTTGAATCCTATTGGTGAGTCATACTTTCTGTTAGCCGAGAATGAAATACAATAAAATAAATATTCTGTGAACTGAATCAACTAGAATAATACAAAATAGCTTATATTGATGTTAATGAAAATAATGATTGCATAAATAATGATTGCATAAATAATGATAGTGATGATAATAATGATGATGGTAATAATGAGGTTGATTAGGAATGCGGATGGTAAAAACTATGCGTGCTGGCACGTGTGTGTGTGTGAGTGTGTGTGTGGTTTGGTTTACTGCAGGTCATTGGCCAAAGCGCAAATCGATGGCAGTTTATACTTGTTCAATTCATTAACATGTTAAATTGTATTCGTCTAGATGTGGTGTTTATCTCAATATCAGTAATACGCGGATATTCATGAATACACAGATAAATGAATAAATATGTAATTTAGATCGATTTAAGCATTAATAAATTCTTTATTTTTGTCTCAAAATAATGAGCTTATTCAGAAAGTTAGTAGCAGCGTATGTAACGATTTCTGTACGCTTTAAAATAAGGTATTGCATCAATCCACGGGATTGTCGACCTTAAACATAGGCCCTTCCAATGTAATCACATTAATTTTTAAAGTCCAATTAGAAGTTGATTTTATCTGCTGATTAACATTAAGACTTTTCATGCATTTTTCCTCAAAAACAATGATGAAGGAATTTCAAACAAAACAAACCGACTAGAGAAAGTAATGATTCTAAAATTTGTTTAATTAGATGAATGTTTTTAAATGTTTTTTTACAATAATAATCATAATAATAATAATAATAATAATAATTGCTCGTGTGATACAAACATTTGTTCGCGTGATATAAACATTCTTTCTTCTTCTTTTCTTAAATTCCATGTTTCGCATGATATAGGCCTATATATATTTTACGATTGACTAAACTGCTGCTTAGATCCTTACCCTTGTAGTGGAGCTGGAGTTTTTGTGATTAAGGAAGTTGCATTCCAATCCTGTATTCAATATTTATGATTTTCCTCACGACTAAAACCAGCTATATTTCATAAGCTTCATATTGAGAAACATCCATGAGCCGTATGCGAAGTAGTATTTTGCTACTAAACTGCTAATCCATTTTAAATAAGATTATTTTTATAGGCCTAATAATTTTTGGGGTGAGATTTGTTTGTTCATACTATATTATTCAAGTTTCTTCTACTATTTTCTTCCCTCCATATCCGAATTTTAAATATCACACGTGCTTTACATTATTATCCTGACATTGGTTGGAACACCTGTGGAACAATACTTAGCTTCCTGTAGAAGCATTCCATAATGTCGTACCAAGTAAATCATGAAACTTGAACTTATTAATCAGCACATTGGCGTTCAAACGTGTGCTTATAATTTATTAGAGGGACAATGTTAATAAAGGACCAAAGGACAAGCACGTGAGCAGCCAATCTTTCGATTGATTTGAAACCGAAAGCATCAATGTGCCAGATTCTTATACATCTTATATTAGAATTGACATTTAAGAGATCTTTGTTTCATGTAAAATAATTTGTTAACACCAGTAACACGCGTTCACTTTGATTTATTCGTCATTGTAATTAAAACATACCAGTACTTAATGTCTTATTTCACAAACACTTAATATAAAACTAGTAGTAGCAACATTTCGATGTTTTGTAGTACATGCTCTAGCTAAGAGCGAGGGTGGCATCGGTTGAGACTGGAAGGTAGCTTCCCCTCCCTCTCCAACCTCGAAGGGTCGAAGAAATTGTATTTATGAATAGATTAGAGTAGGCCTAAATGCGTGTTTAACATTTTTATAAGACCAACCCTTCGCAAATATAATTTATATGCATATATACCTCCGCCAAGGAGGTATATATGCATATATGCAAATAAATTTGTAAGGAAGATGTAAGAGGACGATGTAAAAATATTTTGGGGTAGAAAACTCAAAAGAATAGGTTAAGGTCCCAGAAAGTTTCTGAAACTTACCCATCCATATATAAAATAATATTGGCTCGTTTACCCTGTGCGTATTATTAGGTATTCAGGGACACTTTTTTAGTATACAAGTTATTATTATTATTATTATTGTTATTTAAGTGTTAGGCTATATAGTTCTTCTAGTGTTTTAATATTGCGAGCAATGTTATTACAGTGTTAGACCAATCGTACTTATAGTGTTTTAATATTGCGAGCAATGAAATTACAGTGTTAGACCAACCGTACTTACAGTGTTTTAATATTCTGATCAATGCAGTAGCAGCGTTAGACTAATCGTGATGTTTTAACTAAATAGGTCTTATGTCGCTTTTCACTGCTAATTACGTTGAAAGTACTTGGTTAATTATACCGTAGTGATTTCGTACGTGATTACAAGCGAATTGTGACAAAAGTATCACCAACTGTTAGCAAGTAAATCAAACGGCAACTATGCCATCACTAACATCAATTTAATGCTTTCATTGCTTTATTATGTTCTTCACGAGGTCTTGACACTACTCATTTTCCCGCCAAATAAATGTAAGCTAACATCGACAATAATTTACTTCAACCAGCTTTTTAAATTGCCTTAAACTATCTAGAGACATGGATTCTTGTTAAATGAAATTTAAACTTAAATGCATTAATCGGGGCATTAATTGAATTCCACTTTACACTTTAGGTCTATGAAATAACATCTGTGAATCACTCTGCGTCTGATTGCCCATTGCTAACTAATTTAAAGTACTATTCACAATTATATGTAGCTAAATTTGCTATTATTCTTATTACTGTATGCCAATTTTTTTGTTTTAAACATGAGCAAAATACACCTCTCAAGCGTAAACTACAGATAGACCTAATGTTAACATTAAGCTATTCCCTTCGGCATTCAATTTATCTCTCCAAACAACAATATTAAATTCTCAGCCTCCAATAATAGGAAGAGAGTAATATACGTTTTTATTATTATGCTTGGAACCCTGGTTTCGACAAGGACTGAACACGCAAGTTGTACATTGCACATTTGACAAAATAACCACTAAGCCGTTATATCTCATGAGATACGTAATTGTAAGGATAGCGCCAGATATTTAAGGTGAATGCATTATCAAAACACTATCGTCGCCCAATTTGTGTAATAGGTAATTAATCCTAATAAAATACGAAGAATAATTTACTTACACTAATAACCCAGTTAGTAATTGTCATCCCTTGTTAAAAACAAATCATATAAATTAATTTTGAAATTAAGTTTATCAAGTTGAAATAAAATTGAGTGTATGGATAGAAATAGTAAAAAAAAAAAAATCAAAAAAAAAAAATCGGTCACTGCTAGTGTTTCTATTATTATTACCATTATTTAGTATACAAGTCAGAGTAAACTTATTGTAAACT